TAGGACAACACGAGCCACGCGTTCCCACAAAACCGGAACCTGCATCGCCGTGACCCACATCGCCGTTCGCGTGCCTGCGGAGAGGGTGAGGATTTGGAGGCCTGGAAATTGGCACCAACACCAACACAGGGGTTTGCCGCCACAGGGGGAAGATGATCCTAGATTTCGGTGTTGGTGGCAATATTTCGGTCACCTCGGAAGCCAGAATATTACCACCATCACCGAGACCGGGATCTTCTTCCCTCGGTGGAGGCACACCGCCGAAATTGGTGTTGGTGTCAACCTCCAGGCCTGCGAAGGATGGGCGAGGCAGGACCAGTCAGCACCGGATCGGGACCTCGGATCGAATCGAAGCACGCGTCGCATCGGGCCGCGTCGGCTCGGAGCTGCCATCGAACCAGATCGGCCGCGCCGGGGCCGACACAGCGTTTACAGTCGGGGCGTTGACCTAAGGAACCCTAAATAAGGAACGAGGCCCCTTTTTTTCCATAAGTTAAACTTCGATTTCCGATCGAAAACATAAGGACAACCTGAGGCAAGCTGTGAAACACTTAAGGAACGCGGAGCCCCTCCCCAACGAAGAGGGTTCCTTCTTCAGGGCCCCGACTGTATGCGATCATCGGGCACGGTCGGGTCGTCGGAATGTCGGAGTCGGAGCGGATCGGGCGCGCCGGGGAGGGGGGTCCAGCGCAGATCCAACACAAATCCGCGCGGGACGTCGAACGTTTGCAACGATGCCGTTGGTCCGTGTTCGTCTTCTCCGAGATGCCGTCGAGATCGAGCAAGGACGGGCGGTGAGGACCCAAGGGACTTAGGCGCCGAAGTTGGCACTTCTTGGGCGGCGGGCCGCCAACACCCTGAAGGGCTGGCCTGCGAAAACCATGAAGGACGGGCCGCAGAGGCAAGGACGCAAGGGTACCCTAAGTAGGGGACCGAACCCTATACACCGAAGCTTATTCCGCCTCCGCACCGGAACTCGCGCTGGAAAGCGGATCCTGGTGTATACGGGACCCTGGAGTATACACTTGTCGCTGTTTCCCCTGGAGGATGCGGAAGCCAGTCTTAAAGGGGCCCCAGGACACGAATAAATTCACACAAATAAGCATATTCCCAATATTTTCCCATATTCTCCGGGTTTTCGTCTTCCCCCCCACTTCCCATATGTTCCCATATTTTCCTGCGGATCGTCGCTTAATTGTGTCTGTGTGTTTTTCCCCTCCTGAAGTCTACACCACACGACCCCGACGTCGCCCCCGACACTGGTAATGTATCTGTTCCAGCTTCCGACGAAGAGCATCCGTGCGTCCGAACTATTGAAGGGGCCCACGGACACACAAACAAATCCGCACAAATAAAGGATCCCCCCCACATTTTCCCATATTCCCTACCTAGGCTCTGCCTAGAAGGGTTCTAACTGTGTTGGCTTAAAGGGCCGGGCAGTGGAAATCGCCCCGGGCGGTTCCCCCGGCATCCGCCCCGCGGTTCCCCCAGGATCCGCCCCGCGGTTCCCCCAGTTAGCTTGGCTAAGCTTAGCTTAGCTTATCTTAGCTTCGCTTAGATTAGCTTATCGCATCTTAGCTTAGCTTAGCTTTGCCTAGTTTAGCTTATCTTAGCTTAGCTTAGCTGAACTTAGCTTAGCTTTTCTCATCTTGGCTTAGCTTAGCTTGGCTTAGCTTAGCCTTACTTAGCTTAGCTTATCATAGCTGAGCTTGCCTTAGCTTAACTTAGCGCGGCGCAGCATAGCGCAGCGCAGCATTAGCATAGCATAACATAACATAGCCAATCATATCATAGCACAGCATAGCATAACATAGCTCAGCATATCATGGCATAGCATAGCATAGTATAGCATAGCGCAGCATAGCATAGCATTGCTTAGCATAGCAAGAGCAAAAACAACGGCAATGCAAAGCAAACACACAACCAATGCGAAAGTGTAGATGTATATGTAGATGTAGGTGTAGGTGTAGATGTGGATGTAGGTGTAGATGTAGATGTAGGTGTAGATGTATGTGTATATGTAGGTGTAGATGTGAGTCTCGCTGTTGATGTTGATGTCGATGTAGATGCAGGTGTATATGTAAATGTAGTTGTCGGTGTAGATGTAGATGTGGCTTTCCTAAGTGCTCCAACTCCTAGGTAGGGTCGCACTGGGATAATTCTCTAAGTTTCTGTCTTCCCCACCACTTCCCATATTTTACAATATTTTCCTGGGGATCGACGATTAATTGTGATTGTGTCTTTTCCCCTCCTGAATTATGCAGATGGACTGTGTCGAATCGGACCGGGACTGGCCCCGGAGGGGACGAGGCGGCAGACCGCCGTAAGCTCAAGGAGGCGGCCCCCGGCGAGGCGAGCGCCGCCGGGAGGGGAGGGCGGGAGGGAGGAGAGGCAGGAAAAGGGCGAGGAAGAGGACGGGGGACGAGGGGAAGAAGGAGAAAGAAGGGGACAAGGAGAAGGAGGACGACGACGAGGAAGGGGACGACGGGAGGGGAGGGAGAGGAGGACAAGCAGGAGGAAGAGGACGAGGAAAAATACTTGGAGGAGTACGAGGAGGAGGAGCAAGGGGACGAGGAGGACGAGGAGGAGGGACGTGACTAGAGGGGAAGGGCGGAAGACGAGCAGAAGGAAGAGGACGAGGAAGAGGAAGTGGAGGAGGACGAGGAGGAAGGGGACGAGGATGAGGAAGAGGACGACGAGGAGGGGGGGCGAGGAGCGGGAGAAGAAGGGGGACCGTCCCGTCTTGGCCCGGACTTCCTCCTTCGATCGGCCTCGCCCGCCCCCGCCCGCTGCCCCCCAAAGAGCTGACGGGCCGACTGGTAGGGATTGCCCGCGGCGCCGGCAGGCATGGATGCGAAAGGGTTCACCACTGCAGCGGAGCCTCGTGGGGGGGGGGCCGGAAGGGCTGACAGGCAAGAAGAGGGCCAGAACGCCCGCGAGCGCGACGGCAGGCGCAACTGACACGTGGCCACTTGCTGTCTTCAAGCGCGACTCGTCTTGCACACGCCCTACCTATCCGTGCCCTTCGCCAGGGTCTGCGGAGTAGAAGGAGAAATACATGGTTTCCCACGAGTAGAAGGACCCCAGTCCGTCAATAAGGGCGTCGAGATGATAATTCGTTACCACTGTTGGGGGGTTCTAAAGACCAATCTTGGTTAACTGTCAGGCTCGGGGAGACGGGAGCTGCAGGCTTGCAGCGCCTCAAGCAACCACGGGAGAGGCCGCGGGGGGAGCGCGAGACGACGCTGCCGATCTGGCAGGCCGGAGAGAACGCGCGTCGGTGGAGCGTGCGCGCGATTGCCTCGGACTTCGTAGCACTCGCCTCCTCCTGCTCATCGTCCACCCACTCTCCCCCGCCACCGCGCATGCACGCACGCGCACGCACGCACGACCATACACGCAACACACAAACACAAGCACGCACAAGAGCACACACACACACGCAAACGCACACGCAAACACAAACACAAACCATGGCACGGACGCCAAACGGCTCGGCGCGTCGCGCCGCGACGTTGGGTGCGGCGCTCGACCCTGGCCGCGCGCAGCGGTGCCCCGAGCCGACGGTGGCTCGGGCACTTCCCTGCGTCGTCGGCCTAGCCGAGCGCCCAGTGCGAACGCCCCAAGCCGAATGGCCGCCACGGGGGCGGTGGGCGGGCAAAAGCCGCACCGCAGGTGCCCCTCGCCGGGCGTGGTGGGACAACCCCACCAACCGTGCGTTCGCGACGCCCCTCCCAACCCTGTGCGGCGCATGCGCCTTCTCGCGCGCTCGCCCATGCAAGCAGGGCGGACTGCGCGACGCCTCGCACCCGCCGCTTGGGCACGTGTCGCCCCGCGCCGCTGCGCGTCGCGCGGCGCCCCCCCCCGTTCGCCCAAGCATGGGGGCTGGGGTGGGGGCGACCGCCCCGCGGTTTCGCGACCGCGATTCAGCGTTGCACGATGGTCACCCACCACAAAAATTTGGCGCGGACGCCACGCGGCTCGGCGCGTCGCACCCCGACGTTGGGTGCGGCGCTCGACCCTGGCCGCGCGCAACGGTGCCCCGAGCCGACGGTGGCTCGGGCACTTCCCTGCGTCGTCGGCCTAGCCGAGCGCCCAGTGCGAACGCCCGCTGCCGCGGAGCGCTGGGCAATTGGCGGGGGGCCCAGCCGCGCGCGCCACGCGCGGGCAGGCGCAGACCCAATGCACGCGCGCCGCCGGAGCGCCAGCGCGCGCGCTCCACCAGGCATGAAGCCCAGCCTCTTTCTTCACGCATCGCTGTAGGAAGAGCAATTGCCCCTGGCCTCGAGAATAGCGCCCCGCTCAAGAGACTCTACGGGCATATAATCTATGAAGGCAGCGCTCCGCCAGCCGACAGCGCGAAGTATCTCGGCCAGGCTAGCCCCGCGCTCGACTAAGTCGAGCGCACGTCCGCGGCGGAGCACCTTCGCGTCGAATTCCTCCGGGCGCGCTGCGCCCACCGCCCTGGCCGCGATCCGGACGGCGGCCGCGGCGTCCGCGGGGGGCGAGCGCGCGAAAACCTGCGTGCCTACGCCCGCTTTCTCGAAGAAAACACCGAGGACGTGCGCTGGGCACGTGAATTTGCCGCCCTCGGTGCGGCGCCAGCACTTGCGCCAAATTGTCAAAAGCCGTTCTGAATTCTTGCGCCGCTGCAATCGCAAACTTAACGCGTCTGCTAAGAGGCGCACCGATGCCCGGCGCTGCCCGTTGAATGCCGAGCCATCGAAGACAGCGGGCAAGCCCTCACTTGGCAGGCGCAACAGAAACGCACATCCGAAACACATGCGCATCGCTACGTCTCTTCTGACAGACGCGGCCACCGGGCCCGGGGCGCTCACTTCAACGATTCTGGACAGGAGGGCGCGCTGCGCAAAAAACGTTCGACTCTCGGGGGCGTCGGGCACCTCTTCGCGATGCCCAGCTTCACGGGGCGATCATCGAAGGCGGCCGTCGACGCTGATGACAGCTCGGACGCCGTGGCGCTCGCGCGGAACAGCGCACTGGTGATCTGGAGGTCCTCCGCGCTGATGGGAAAGGGGGAATCCCGCCCAAGGGCGCACTTTGAGAAGCGTAGCCACCATCGCACTGCGGACGCCCAGCTCTGCACTGATCGAGGACAACTGCCGCGCGCCGCATCCGAGCGCGCCCTCGCGGCGAAGCGCCGGCGTTCGGGCGGGCCCAGTACAGCGACGCCGTCGAAGGCGCGTCGCGGCCCCTCACTGGGCGCGTCCAAGTGGTTCGCGCGAAAAAAAAAACAGCTCACTCAACCACGGCCTCGACCGCTCCCCGAGCTCGCGAGCCCTCCGCAGGATCGCCTTGCGCGTCGCCAGGGCGCAACGCCGCGCGCAATTGTTCCGGCGCCGTCGCCCCAGCGTCGCCCCCGCGCCTCGGCCGCCAACCTGGCGGCGGCCCCGGCGGAGGCCGCGGGCGCACCGCGACGCCCTCGCCACTGCCGGCGGGCGGAGGGCCTGTGGGAGGACATGGCCTCGGGCCATTCACCATGCGCCGCCGGGGCCCCGGCGGCCGAGGGGCGCGCGGGAGGCGCTGCTTCTGCTTCGTTGCAGCGCTTGCACCGACCGAAATAGAAACCCTCGAGAGTCGGCGTGCCCCACTGCATCCTCGCTTCGTTGATGGCCCTGCGCGCGGCCACAACGCGCGGCGGTTAGCGGCCCGCGGGCGCGCCGACTGGTTACTACATCGCTGCTGCGCGGTGATAGTTGAGGCCGACTGAGGTCGGCGTCGACGTCTGCCAACTGCTTCCAGTGAAGCACATCCTGCGATTTGAGATACGCGACAAGCTTGACGTAAAAGGCAAGCGGCTGGCGCCGCAAATCCCGCGCACGAGGCCAGTGGGCGAATATCGACGCGTCCGACATCTCCCCGCGCGTCTCCACGCTGCGAGGCTCGCGCGGGAAAGCGCGCGACGCGCGTGCCCCCGCGCCGCCCAACCGAAGCTGGCAGCAGCACTCAGCGGGCCCTTGCGAGGGAAGCCCACTGCTGAGGGGCGTAGAAGCGATCGTCCAGCGTCGGTTCTGCATAAGTCGCGTCCAAGCGGCGCGCCAGGCCGTCATCTTCCCGCGATGGCGGATCTGCGATGTTCGAAGCCGAGGGCACCCGATGGACCCACGCGGATGCCGAGACTTCGGCAGCCAGCGCCCATGCCCCATGCACGAGGCAGGCGCGGTCAAAATGGCACGCGGATCCTCGCGCCACCGCCTGCTCTGCTGCGCGGTTGTCTGAAAACATCGCTAGCGCCGCTCTCGACAAAAGATGCCTGAAAGACGGCATGGCCACAGCGATAGCCAATAGCTCCAGGCTCATAATCTGATTGTCGCCGCGCTGCCCGAACAGCCGCAACGCCGCGGCGCCCGGCGCCCAATCTGTGTACCACGCGCGGTCGTGCGCGAACAGCACTGCCACCGCGCGCAGCGGGGTGCTCCGCGCATCGGCAAACACATGCGCAGCGTCCAGATGGTGGGCTGCCCACTCCGCCATGTCGTGGACGCCCGCAGCCAGCACTTAGCGCCACCAATCTAACGCTATGCGCAGCAGAGTCTTGACGCGAGAACCGCAACCGTGCTGCTGCGCGAACAACGGTCGCAGAAAAGCTCTGCCCAGCCGCTTGAACAGCGATTGACTGGCCCAGGATAGCGCCCCGGCCAACTTCGACGCCGCGCCCGGCTCGAGTTTTCCTGATTCGAGCGCGCGAGTGATCGCGCCAGCCCACTTGCGCGCCCTGTCCCCCGACGGGGCGCAATGGGTGCCCGCGCCGGTGAAAGCGAAGTGAACCCCCAGCGAGACAAGCTCGCTGCCCCACTCTAGCTCGCCGCTGGCAACGCTGCCGTGCCCGAGGATGGCACGCGCCAGCCGCGCGAAAGCTCCCATGGCATGCGCTACTGATTTCGCGGCGCCAGGGGCAAAGTAATCGTCGACATGCCGCCCCGCGGGGATCCGCAGCAGACGCCGCGCTGCGTGCCGAAGGAAAGCGGCGACTCGGTCCCAACCGTACGCGGGCCCGACCGTGCGCGGGCCCAGATGCTCCGAAGGGGGGAGCACAAAAATGCTGCGAGATCCACAGACGGCCGTCCGCCAGGAATGCGCTCCACGCCGCGAACGCGTGGCCTGGGGCGAGCGGGGTGCGCCTGTGCGCGGCGTCTATATCCGCTTTCCACAGGGCCGGCGCCGCGCCGCGCGCTTCAAAGAAGGCGCGGCGCGCCGCAATCACGCGATCGACCCCGCCAACGACAAAATGTTTCCGCAGGCGGCGTCGCTTTCGCAGTGCCGGCGCGAGTGCCGCCGTCGACGGGCCTGATTTTGACGCCCCCATCTGGCTTGCACTGCGCCGCGGGGAATCTCGGCAGCAAACGCGCGCCATCGCCAGTGACTCGCGCAATCTCGGCAGCAGTCGCCGACGCTGGAGAAGAAATCGGCCGCGATATCCGCCCTGGACTAGCGTACTGGCGCGTCTTCTCTAGGAACGCGCTCGCTCCCTCGCGTGCGCGCATTGTCTTCAAAATCTGTTAATTTTGTGCGCCACCGCGCCCGAGCGCAGTGCGGCAACGTCCGGGCAGGCGCCCTTCTTGCACGGGAATGCCATTCCCCGTCGACGGCAGCGCCCCAACGATCGGCGCGCCCTCCGCGAAGCAATGCACAACGCCTGTTTCTCCGCATTCCGACCGCGCTACGGGCGCACGGAGCAACGGGACGTGGACTTCGCGAATTATCTGCTCGGATTGCGGCGGCGCCTGCCTGCGCCATTCCTCCGCCTCGCCGGTGTATTCAAACGAGCGGCCAAGGCGTTCAATCTCGCGGATCCAACCCTCCCTCGCGCGCGCATCATCGCTGGGGCCGGACGCCGCGGACCACGCGAGGATGTCGCGA